CACTAAAAAATAATAATAAAATATGTACCTATATATATAAACGTACTAGTGATGAATAAATTATTTTTGTGCAACATCAAGAAACATCTCCAGAAATTCATTTATCTCCATTAGTATGATATCTCTGTGTATTTAACAGTCGGATTTGTCCGTTCGTTGAGCTAATAAATAACGCAGTTTTTTCTTATTCTTAACGCGATGTGCAATCGAAAACTTATTTTCGATCAAAATTTGGATGGATGTCTCGTCGTTGCCCCTAGGTCTTCAGTATAATTATTGTTCGTACTGGTTGATTAAAATCGTCGTCGTCGCTGTGTTAAGTCGAGCTATTCGCCTCGCTTTGCTATAAATCCCCGGGCGCAAAGACGACACATAATAATAATAATAATAATAATAATAATGACGACAATATTGCGCATTCGATTCTCAACGTTACGACAGTAACAATATTAATAATACCAACAACAACAACACACACGTATATAATATATGGGAGATTTACTAGGATATTAAAAATTCGCTGAAAAACATATATATTGCGCCAACTCGATTGGTCCGTAATAAAAACATAATGATATTATATTATATGTAATAACGCGCCCTATAGCCGATGTTGATACACACGGGAAAACTGCGTTAGGGATTAAAAGAGAATCCTAGCCCGGCGGAGGGGGGGGGGGTATAAGAGACGAAAACAAAGTTTATAAAAATGAAGTTCGCAGCCCGTTTTTGACGTCTACATATTCTTTCTTCCGGGCGTGGTGCGATCGGTGCCGCAGCTTCGCGAGCGTTATTAATGTTTCTCCCTCGAGCTCACATTAATCCCCCGAGACACCATATATATATTTAATATAACTGTGTTATCCGTGTAATCCTTAGGTCCCAGGGCATAACCACCCCAATCGCACAAGTCTCCTTAACAAGCCGCTAAGACAGAGCAACTGTATTCTACAGTCCTCAGAATCAAATATATAAATATATATATTTATTATATAGATTATATTCACCGAGCACACTAACCCCCCTCCCTCCTTTTTCTCCAACAATGCAGTTATTTAAAACCAAATTTTTGAAAATTTTAAACACGCTTAAAGAAATTTTTTTGACATTTTTCGTAAGTATACCTACTATTTAAGAAGCGTGTCCTGTGTTGATACAAACTTCTGTTTTTTTGAATTACCCTCTCCTATTTTACTGTAAGTATTATTTAGGGAATATTTTTTTTGAAAATTCAGATAGATGTACCTAAATCAAAATTCGAACGAGTATAATTTGTGGGTAGGTATATTTTTTAATAGATACCCTGTAAACGTTAACTGTACCAGAATAATAATACATATATGTTTTCTTTGTTTTTTTAATTAAGTACCTGTTTATTTATACTGTGATGAATTTGTTGTTTTAAACGATTTACTGACATGAAATAAATGTGAGGTAGCGATCATCGATTTTTAAATACCTTAGATAACTCGTTCTCCGTATAACCACCTGCTACACAAATGCCTTATTTAGAAAAAATATCTCAAAATGCAGTCTACCTCTTCCGGCTTTACCGTATAACTATATACATTATAAACGAAACGTTATTATAAGCAGTGCTTAAGATTTTTACTGCAACGGCTGAAATATTAATTCCTTAATTAAAATGTAGATTTCGAATCATTAGGTTATTATATAAATTTAATTGATTAAATTAATTAATTATTAATTTTAATGAAGCGCGAAAGACCATCGTCACGTGAATCCCTCGAGCAACTCTATACCCCACTGGCCAAGATGATGTTGTCTTCACATTGTCTTTGCAATTGATTGTATTTGTTTTTCTCACGTTTTCGAGCTCACATTAAACTGTTATATAATAATGAATTCATAGATATACAATGCTATTCGAAAACCGCATTGAACACTTCTATAGTCACACTATAATATATATATTATCATTACAACAAATATCACATTCCGATTGAATGTTCTCTCATGTGTTCTCTCACATGCAACAGTTAAACGAAATATTTAACGGTTTCGTCAACCAGAGTGACCAGATTATTATTATTATTGGAAACTATATATAATAATGATATACGCACATTGATTAATAATTTATGATGGTAACATGAAACAGTTTTTTCCCCGCCGAAGGTCTATAATATTTCGAATATTTAGGAATGCGATACTCATAATTTGTGTTTGATGGTCAGGTACTTGTTTATTGACAGACGCAGCCGAAAGTAGCGTTATATGAAAATCCAATCAGGTTGTATTGGTATAATATATATTATACCAATAATATTTCGCAACCTGAAATATAATTAAATGGACTGTTTTCATAATACTATTACCAAACAACAATAAATATTGGTATACCTAGGTTACGGCAGTGTAAGTTCGACGATAATTCATTAGTTCGATAAAATTATAATTATTTAAGTGTCGTCATTCGCACAGTCATGCGTCATCACCGATGAATACAGAATGGTTCACCGAGCTATTCGCCTCTTTTTCTCCTCCGACAATGCTTCAGTTATTCAAAATCTGATTTTTCGAATTTGTAAATAATATACCTTCTAGGACTCTAGGTGCTCCAAGACCATTTTTTTTTAATTCTCTAGAATTATTATACTACTTATAAATAAATATGGTGCGGGAAATACATATACTTCTGTCTTACAAATGATCCCCCCTCTGTCTACTGTAAATACTTATTTGACGGAAAAACGGGGTTGAACATTCGCGGAGAATTATTCTGTATACATAGAGGTTAATTGCAAATAAAAACGGCTGCATAACTAATCGTCGAGTGTATATTTTGCGCTAGAAGATGTTTATATTATTTCATTGCAATGACTATAGCAAAAATTAATTTTGCATCTTGGAACTTTAGGGAAATGATTTCTGTTCGAGTGCGTGTTGTTGCACAACCGACTTTGAATCTCACATAAAATAATAATAAGATTATACATCTTGTATATACGTATAAATGCTCAAAACACGTCGCGGAGACCCAATAACTACTGCAGTGCGCACAATATTATTCAATCTATATAATAATATTACATCAAATCAAAATACCACTCACTCACCAAACCTGAAATTTGGAATAGTGGTTTCTTGAATGCTCTCTGGATGTGCTGCAATGAGAAAAGATTTTCCGATAATCTCGTCTTAAAAAGTTGGTCAAACGGGGAATCTCGAGAAATTGAAATTTTTTTTTGCTTATAAATGGACAACAATCGGTCTCTGCAGATTATAATAGTAATGTACCTATATATGGCCGTATGTAAAAATAGTGTAGGTCCCAGGAAACACAAAAAACGTTTTGAATAAAAAAATCACATAGAAGTTATTTCATAAACGGTTTATAGTTGGTAACATATTGGAGGATTTTTCTGCGAAGGAGATTTTATTCGTAAAAAGCTTCTTTTTTTCTGAATCCAGAGATACTAGAACCTCAAAATCATAAACTTTACACATAGAAGGATTTTCCCCCGCCAACGACTGTATTATGTAAGTTTATGTACATTATATATTTTATACTCCGCCAATGCAGAAAACAATAATTATACGTTTGGATAATGCAGAAAAAAATATATGTACCGAAAAGCGTTCGCTTAGTTCTTTGATAATAATATTATACATAGTTTTATCTGTGACAATACGATGTATATAAACGTGTATAATCCGGAACATTTTACGAATCAACGATTCTTTTGAGCAAAAATAGAAACAAAGTCCCGGACTGTCGTCGCTTCTGCTTTCGACAGTGTTGTAGCAGCAGCAGCAGCAGCAGATTATATATAATAATATATATTTTTGTCGTACAACCGTGAGCAAAGACGACGATAATATATAGAATTCTAAAGTCGAGACTTGAGACTCGAGTGAAGTTTGATCGTCGCTCGACGAGCTCCAGACAAGAATTAATTAAGGACGACTACGATGACGATGGTGTGCGGGCATGATAATAATTATTATTAATTGGTCGTCGACGAAAAATAATATCGCCGAGTTGCAAAAGTATAAATTGAATGATATAATGGTAATAGTATGTATAACCGGGGTTACGAGTCGTCGTGTTCGCTTTAATAATTTTCGAGAGATATCGCGAATAATTAGATGCCCTGGAACAATATGTCCACGACGACGTATGTGTGCCAACCAGGCACACCTTGCAATGTAATCACAACACAATATACGTAATGTGTTGAAATAAACGAGCTGGGCTTGTACATTTGTTATTATTATATTTCAGTCAATTAACATAAAATAATACGCAATTATAATAAAACGATGACGATAATAATAATTATCGTACCAAGTGCGGTAATAACGGCAATTATGATTATTATTATAAAACTGGGCGTACAATTAATAATAACATCTATCCTCCGTTACACTAATATATTCCGATTACGATGCTGCTCGCGAACTCTTTACTAGTCAGACGACCCCGAACGAAATTGCATACATATTTTAGGTTGTTTCTGTTGTTTAGAAAGTCAAGACGATTAATTTCAAAACACCACAATGATAATATTAAAACATTTCGTCGGACGCAGTCTGTGCTTTTGATGATCCATAGGATAATCCATACGGTCACAATACGTATATTATTATAATACCTACGACAACACGTAATTTATTGACACAAAAGTTCACTTTAAATGACATCATCCGCGGTATAAACTGCACATGACGATACGATAATATTAGACTATGGTATCGAAAATACCTACACATAGGTCATGATGACCTATATGACGCATAGATTAGGTTAGGTCGGGTTACCACACTTTGAACTCTCGCGGATATTTGCGCTCAGAGTCATATCGATTTTTTTCGCCAGACTGCTACGTCGTCGTCGTCGTCGTGGGTAAAATAATAATAATAATTAATATAATACAATACTGTTATTATTATTCTTATCAAACAATGTGCCCCTTTGTACGCTTATATATATTTATATGTATGCTAATCGCCTTTTTTCTCTCGTTTGTTCACAGGGAAGCAAATGCACCAGCGGCGGCGCTCCCGGACAACCGTACTACATGACCCATCAGTTCCCGCCCGGGTCGTCCGCCACGCTACCCAACAGGGGTCGTCCACCCACCGGGTCCATACCGGCCCGAGCGTATTCGCCAGCCGTGCCGCCCGTAGCGGCCAACAAATCGTCAGGTATTATAACCCTCGACTACCGCATGCCTACGTAGGTAGCTATGTTTCAGGAGCAGAACATAATTATTATACCCACGGAGTATTTCGATCGATGAAAATTTTCGAATTTCGGACGAGTAGTTTATACTGTGTGTAGTTGTAAGTATTTAAAGTTTGGACCGTCATTTTTCTCTCGGGATTTCCCGCACTCCTCCACCCCGTTCGATTAAACTTTAATGAACTTAGGTAAAAGTAGTTGTAACCACCATAGACTATACACTCGGTCAAAATTCGATTTGCATGCGTCGAAATACTCCAAAAAAAAATTCTGCTTTGGAATATATAAGTAAATCAAAAATGCTCGTTGTCATCAAAAAATTATAACGATAAAAAATAATAAAAAAAAATTAGAAGTCATGTATAATTATATAGTTAAAAAAATTACGTTTTTAACGGATTAAAATCATGTAAACAAAATATTTTCTGAAAAGGTGAGGCGATCGTTTTTGAAATAACAGTGTAGTCTAACGAATATAGGGGAACTATGGAATTGGTTCCTAGGTCGAATAAATTGTACGAATTGGTTCTCCTTTGAAACTACTTATCAACATACAGCTGTTCGAATTGGTTCCATTATTACGTATAAATCCTTAACGCATAACTTATAATATTTCATTAGGTTTTACAATGTCTGAGAAAGTTTGTAAAGCATATAGGTGTAATACCTATTATACCAGTATCTAATATATTATTATAGATTGGTAATGTTTGTGTCTTGTCAGTCTTAATGTGACAATTAATAACCTAGTCACATGCACGTATATTTACTGAATATAAGTGTGTGTGTTAAAAGGAAAGTGATATGTTAAGTGAATTAAAAAAATAATAATTGAAATATTACTGAGGAAAGTAACATTAAACACAATCAGAACTGGTAAAAAAGAGCACTGGATGCTACATAATTTAAAAAGCAAATTACAAAAATGTTTTGGAAAATTTAAAATATGCATATTATTTATACAATATTAAATTATTTAAAATACATAAAAAAACTTAATTAAGTACCAAGTTACAACAAACATTCAAACAAAATTGTACAATATTATATTACTTAAAGTTCTATACAGTTGTATCGTAAAAAAAATATCCGATAAAACTAAAATATTTTTTTGAGCAAAGGATGCTGTAGCATCCCAGCATCCTAGATGGCAGTCCGCGCCTGAACACAATCATCAAAAATACATTGAAAACATATTATTGGAGAGGCAAGCGTTAAACAATAAGTTCAAATGAAAAGTTAATATAGTTGTACTATCATTATGAAAACTCACCAAATGGCAATTCGTATATTGCTTGCAGAGACAACCCGAGAACTAATACGTGCTACCAGTAGATAGCCTGGGGGTGACTCGTATACATATTAATATATTTTTTTTAATTTACGACCACTCGTTTGAGCACAAAATAGTGAACAATGAAAACCAGCTCGGGCGTACTGTTTGAATGTACAGGAAGTCTTAAACAGGTCCGTATAGTCTAACGATAGCATAAGCATAACGATTATATTCAATAGTGGTTAACCATCAGTTTTTATCTACCTTATCACTTTATCAGTAATGTCTGACGCTCACCAAGTACTACGAGTCGTGCGGGACAAGCTTTAATCTTTATTGCTATATTTTGATCTTACACTAATTTGACGGAATTCCCAAAAATTGGGAATCAACTCGTAGTCGTCCAAATATAGATCACCCTACACATAAGATCTTACACGAAAAGCGCGTACTCCCCAACCCGTGGCTACAGGCAACCGCTTGAACATTTTTTCGGATGTTTTGGGTCTATTTATATGTTAGCATCTCTTTCCAGGTTAGTTAGCGTAATATATGTTAGCGTCTCTTTCCATTTTGAAGTCGGCAGCCGTAGGTAGGTTTACATTCTTGTTTTAATATTACAAATAATTTACTTAGGTACTTGTATACCATTAAAACGCAATTCGTGTCGTCGTCATTAATATTGTATAGAACTGCAGCGTAGCAGCTGTAAACCCGTGTTTGGATTATAAAGGAATTTTCGTTTGCTTCTTTTTATTGTTGACGTCATTCAAAGGCGCACCCGAGTCAAAGGACGCGAGGCACATCGCACCCTCTCACATCCCACAGCATACGCCACAGCTGCGGTAAACATAATATATATAGACGACAGGTATGATATATATTGTAAACATCATGAACGGCAAGATCAAAAGGGGTTTGTAATGAAATTAATTCGAGGTAAGCCACTTACTTACCGTTTCATCGTTTGAATAAAAAAGAATTATTATTATTGTACTTGGTAGTCATTTAATTATTTCGTTGTTTGTTTGAAAACGTTTAAATATAATTGCATTAAACATAAGAGCGTTAAAAGTGTTCATGCTGTAAAGAAAACATTTCCTACGCATGACGTACACAGTGGGCATACGTTTTTCGGAGTTATATGCCATAATACAGACGAGACAGCCCATGTGGATTGAGATCGATTTATTCCATACATTTATAAACGTACAACAAATAACATTTCGTTTGAATGAACGTTTTTGACTTCCATAATATTATATCACCGCCATCTTTTTAACGCGTACAATAAATGTGCAAAAGACTATATAATATAATTCTTGGGAGGTTATTGGTAGGTTTTCTGTTTTTACAGTTTCTATCAGAGCTCTTCAGCCGTCTGAATTCTCTGCATCTCCAATAATCGTTCTATTTCTTAATCTAAGTCATCCTCCCACGTGTCGTTTTTTATCTGGCTTGTTAATAAGAGCCTGTCCACTCAATTTACTTTCTGCACGCCATTCATGGCCAGCCCACTCGACAGCCTTTCCGACCTCAGAAAATCTTGCATTTTAACACAGGCCCATATATCCCTTATATTTTTCTAAATATTTTCTTTTCAAAGACCAATAACTTGTTTTCTTGCTTTGGACCATGTTTCACATCCACACATGGCGATAGGGTGTAAGTAAACAACCAATGAGGGTTAGGAGTACTTATGAAATTTTCACTCACCATTCTTGAAATATTGAATGATATATTATTTTTTAATTTTGTGTTTTTTTGGTATGTTTCATAAAATCATCACTAGATGATCAGACTTATTTCATACCAGCTAGATTAATAGTCTATTGCTTATTAACAATATTTAATTCCTGATCACGATATAGAGAAGATATACCTATTATATAAGATAGATTGTTATATCATTTATATAATGTACAAGGTAAGCAATATTTCTATAACATTTTCCACTTAACATTTAACTAAGTAGAGGTACTTGCTACTATAGTTCTGAATTAAAATTTGATTTTTGATCCTTCAAAATGAAATATTTCATAAAAGTTTCAAGATATTTTAAAACCCTACAAATTTAGCAATTTCTTATTGTAATTATTACAAAAACTATCAATCGTCCTTCTTTAGTTGGAACTTGGAGAGCTTTTGAGAGAAACAAAACCGGCGGCAATTAATATCAAACTAAATTATTTCACTGGGTATGCTTTGATACGCTTTACAACATTTATCCGATAAGACGCGTGACCATAAATTGAATGTTTATAACGTCACCAGTTATATTTAAATGTATTAATAAAAATATCTTATCCACGGATAATGTTACAAAATATATTGTATAGCGCCCACAGCGTGGCCAATCGTCGCTGTGGTTGAGATATCTTTCGGAATAGGGTTCTTGAAAATAATCCCGAATAATGATCATTAAAAAAAATCCTATTTACGATCCTCGTACACTTGGATATTAAGTCCAAACGAAAAAAAAATTATAAATACAAAATTGTTATTTCTATACATATATTTATTGAACTACCTACCCGTGCAGTAATTATCACATGTCTATATTATCACTGTGGAGTTAAATGCTAAATTTACATAGCTAATAAGTTCTTATTTTCCAACGAAATTATAACAGAATGACCAAAACGATTTTCAAACAAGGGTTGTGTCATGGTTAATTTTTCAGTTTTTTACAAAATAGTTTTTATTTTTTAGATTCAGTAGGTATACATATATATTTTTTCGATTCGCGATGTACAGAACTAAATTAAATTTTCTACTTGAAAAAAGTAATTGCCGTATATAATATTATAAAATACGTTTTTAATAAACGCACTCTGAATGAAACCACGATTAATTCTTTGCAGCTCCTGTCTCAAGATTAAAAAAAACCCCTATTCATACTCCTATTCTCGCAGGAAGTAGGTATTTTTTAAGAAGTTTCATAAATAATAATACTAATAAGCCGTTTCGGATTTGGTCCCTTCTTATCTGTATAATATTTCATTTCCACGCGTTTCGTGGAATATAAAATGGTAGTTTTAGATACACGTCGATACTATAATATTTATATATTTAAAATCATATGAAAAATGTGACAGAAGAAGCTGCACGCTTCTACAAAAACGTTATACTCGTCTCCATAAAAACCTATCAACCCCAGGAGTCGTCTAAAAAGGAACTGGTGCCGGAACTTTTGAAGGAACTGAGGAAAAAGAAATATATATTATGTATAGTTGGTATATGGTTTTGAATCGATAATCAAACAATAATTTTCAGTCCAGTCAAGTGCCACTTATGGGTGACTTCTTTTTTCTTTTTTTTCTATTGATCTTTAGCTTTGATGACAACGGCCTTTTGCTATTTTTATATTCCATCTTTGTATATATAATTCTACTGTACGTGTAGGTCACTGAACTCCTAAACGGCTGAACCGATTTGAATGAATTTTTTGTGTATGCGTTTGGGTGACGTAACGCATTGAAAGATGCTCAAACAGTGATTTTAAGATTTACGAAGGAAATATTTGTTTATATACGATTACTATTGGTTATAGGAGAAATATCAATATATTTAGTAGGAATTGGTATTTTTTTTTTTTTTGTTTATTGGTTGCCTGCAGTGGTTCATCGGGCAGATCAGGTATAAGCATGCCTACAATTGAATTTTCGCACATTGCCTACCAAGGAG